CCATGTTTGTTTTGTCAGGTCTGGGTCTCTGTATGTTTTATTTGTTGTTTCTCTTCCACATACACTTACAGGGACATTTGTGGTTATGGCGTCTGTCTTCCCAAGAAACCATTATGTGTGGTAAGGCCCTGCTTTCCAGGAGGTGGTTAAACATCTGCCTGCCAATGAGAAGTAGTGAATGAATCCCTTATTTTGCTTTACTTGCATGCACAGCTTTGCTTCACTTTTTAACTGTCTTTATCTTGACCCATGAGTTTTCTCACTTTTGCCTTCTGATTCTCTCCCCCATCCTGCTGCAGGAGGAGTGAGCGACTGGCTGGGTGGGTGCTTAATGGCTGGCCCAGGGTCAACCCATCACAGGAAGTCAGCCCTATCCCATTTCAGGTTCATTCTCTCACCTAGGAGATTGGATATCAGTTTTCCCATTTCTCTGCTCTGCCTGATTTCCACAGGAAAATAAATACACCGATGGGGGTTGTTTTGCACCAGGCAGTGTTGGTCCATTATGATCCCAGAAAGGAAGGCACTCAGACTCTGTAAAGTATCATTAAAAAAGCTAATTACTAGAGCTAACACTATAAAGAAGAAGAGAATAGTATAGATAATCTTGCATCCCTTTAGATGCTGGGAACCTCGAGTTGTGCAGCATTAAATAGGCCTCCAATCAGGGTGCAACACACCATGCAGATCCCGTCCATGGCAGGGTTGCCCCACTGTGGTCATTCAAGTCATTGTAGGACTTTCTTACAAGGAAACGACTCTTAATAAGTTCTACTGTCAAATAGAAAGGATGTTCACATAAGACACCCAAGTGGCATAATCACCGGTATCAAGTGGGAGCTGCCTTCGTGCTCCTCTTACAATGAACTGGCTGAGTTTATCCTGAGGCCAAGGAATTTGAGCACCACAACACAGGCCTGAAGGCCAAGCTGTACATGCAGCACAGCAGAGCACAGGCCTGGGCCTACTCAGGTGTTGTGGTTTAAACGCAGTAGGCACCACACAACTGCTTGCTCACTCTCCCCACAGTGGGATGGGGGGGATAATTGGAAGGGTGAAAGTGTAAAAACTCATGGGTTGAGATAAAGACAGTTTAATAAGAAAAAAAGGAAGAAAAAACCCCCAACGAATAAAAACAAAACCAAGAAAAACAAGTGATGCAAAAAAACTCCAATTGCTCACCACCAGCTAACTGATGCCCAGCCAGTACCTGAGCAACAGCAGCCTCAGCAAAACTTCCCCCTCCCAAGTTTTTATTGCATATGTCATATGGTATGGAATATCCCTTTGGCCAGTTGGGGTCAGCTGTCCCAGCTGTCTCCCAGCTTCTTGTGCATCCCTGGCCTACTTGCTGGCAGGGCAGTGTGAGAATCAGAAAAGACCTTGATGCCTTGAAGCACTGTTCAACAATAGCTAAAACATCAGTGTGTTATCAACACTCTTTTCATCACAAATCCAAAACATAGCACCGTACAAGCTACTATTAAGAAAGTTAACTCTATCCCAGATAAAACCAGTACATCAGGTTACCTATTATGTGGATCACTAACTCCTCGATGTACAATGTTCTTTCAGTCAGGATCACTACAGGGGTCATTTTTGATTTCTTCTTCTGAAGCTGTTTTACTTTGTAAAAATAACTGAATATTTACTGGAGTAGAACTTAAATCTGATATTCCCGCAGTCAGTGTGAACATTTTAATTAGCAGAATTTAATTTTGATCTTGCACTTTATCTCTCTAGAGCAATGAATGTTAAATGACGTATAAAGTTGAACTCCAACTCTGAAACACAACCCTGTGTATTCAGTAACTCAAAGATATACAGAGAGTACTTAAGACACCTTTCACTTGCATTTGGAGGAGAGTCTCCACTATTTCAGCTCTAAATCATGCCTCACAGGAATTTGAAAACAGTTTAACTCCTGGATAATTGCATACAATGGACATAGAGCCAAAAGTTTTGATATGTTGGGGAACCTGGCCTGTGCCTTGCAGGTATGACAGAAAGGAGAATTCTCTAAAGACTTATGTATGACTACTTGGCTAAATATCTGTAAATTAGCTATGTAATCTGAAAACCCCTCAGCACAAAGCCGGGATAAGCGGGCCTCACGCGTGCACCTATGGTACCTCTGGTGCCGAGGGGTCTTCTGTGTGAACGCGGACACCACCTCGGCTCGCTGGTGTCACGACCGGTCGCGGGCCCAGACCCCACAGCGGTGCCGGGCCGTCATGCTCCCTGGCAACCGTTGACAAGCAGCAAACCTGAAACCGCGCGCGGGGGAGGCGGGGAGCGCCCCCTTCCACGCTGAACACCACGTCTATAAAACTATGAGGGCTCACCCGGAAGCGCTTCTATGAGGGCGGTACTAGGCGCTGTGCTTGCTTGGTGTGCAATGCGTTTCCTCAGTTAGGTTTCTCCGTCGTGATCGGTTCGCGCCGCAGACATCTTCCTCCGGGTTCCGCGCCTGCTGGCCTCAAACGCGGGGCTGCCCTCTTTCCGCCCGGCTCAATCTCTGTTACCATTAGTCCTCTCTGCACGCTGAGTGATGCTGTTACGGGGTTCCGGAACCGCGGGACCGTGGGGGTGGCTGACGCTGCTGCTGGTGGCCTGCGCGGCACGGGCCTCTGAGATCACTTTTGAGCTGCCTGACAACGCCAAGCAATGCTTCTACGAGGAGATTGTTCAGGGCACTAAGTGCACCCTCGAGTTTCAGGTACTCCTTGCTTCCCTCGGTCCCCGGGGAATCTCTTGTTATTTCACTTTTACCATTAATATTAGGGTTTTAATAACTTAATACCTATATAAATTGGTGGGCACTTAAACTATGTTATGTGAACAGCCTATCTGAAGTGTTGCTTCTGGTGCTTGGCACCTCTGAATAAATTTTTATAGCATATGTTTGAATAGATATTTAAATATTTCAAACAAAATGTCTACTACTTTAGAAAGCTTCTGTATACATATAAAAGGGCTGTGCCTTTGGATAGAAGTCTCTTCACCTTTCAGGATGCTTTATCTTAAAGGCAAGAAGTTTGGAGCATCGATTAAATATAACTACTAGCCTGAGAGTCATCAGAATAGTGATCTATGAATACCTAAATTGCTAATTGCTCTTGCTGTGGAGATAGGATAGCTAGTCTGATTCTACAGAACAATGTGCTATAGACCAATAATCAGAGGCTGATAATACTTGAGACAATCATGAAGTTTTGAGTTGCTTGTAGGCATAATCTGAATGTGTTGGTGTGGGAAAGAAATACTGTCATTAATTGTGCAGGAATGAGGCAGCAGAACCTCTAGAGTATGCTCTGTTGACATGCACATATGAAAATGCGCCAGGCTGTAATACCTGTTCTACTGGACATATGCTATTCCTGCAACATAAAGCAGCTTGACCTAATAGGCTAGTTAGATAGTTTAGGCCATACATAAAGGAGCTGGTCTATTGCATTTTGGCAATCTCAACTTGCTGAATAAATTGCATGGATGGGCTTGTGGATATAGCAAATTACTGATTTATTACAGTAATGTCTTTGCTCCATCAAATTTAATCTACTCTAGCCTTTGCTATAGTACCAGTATCTTAAAACAAAATAACTAAAACTTCCCTCATAAACCATTAGAAAACATAGTTAACATTACATATCCTCAATTTAAAAGATCTTATTTTGAATTGTTCTGTGAGTCTTCCATAGGTTGAGGATTTTTGCAAACTTGTATTGAAAGATTTTTAAATTAATGCATTTTATTTTAAAACATTTGTCAGATCAAACAATTTGAAGTGCTAGTTAGATGTCTGGTCTGCTTAAGACAATTTCTTGTTTTCAGGTGATCACTGGAGGTCATTATGATGTTGACTGTCAGGTGGAAGGTCCTGATGGTGCTGTATTATACAAAGAGATGAAGAAACAATATGATAGTTTTACATTTACTGCATCCAAAAATGGAACATACAAATTCTGCTTCAGCAATGAGTTCTCTACTTTCACACACAAAACTGTGTACTTCGATTTCCAAGTTGGAGAAGATCCACCACTGTTTCCTAGTGAGAACAGAGCAACTGCACTTACTCAGGTAAAAGAGTTGTGTTTGACAGCAACTGTTAGGTGGAGGGAATGTTTTTCAAATTCAACTGCACTAGATATCTATATCACTGTTGAAAATTAATGGGTTGGAGCTTCTTTAAAATAAACTGAGTTACTAAAAGTGAGCCTTTTCCGAAAATTAGGATTTCCGGAGTGCAGAGCTGAGGAGGAATTGCCAAGTGTTTAAGTGGAAATTAGGGAAAATAGACTGTGTCTTAGAGTTTAAGGGAACTTTTTTATGCCATGGTTCTATGTCTGTGGGAGTGTGGATTTCATAGAGTGTAAAATATCAGTGGATCAGGGTTTTCAAAATTCCTGAACTTTGGAGAAACTTTGAGAACAATTTGTTTTTATATTAAAATAGTTTAGAGTCTCTTTTGAGGGGAAGACTTGAATGGTTGATCTCTTATGTAACTATCACTTTTAAAATGGGAAGAGAATTCTAGTGAAATAAAAAAATGAACAAAATCAGTCATATTTAACTGGCTTCTAGATATGTAATTTATAAGACACTTAAGTGGCAAAGCAGTATTCTTGCTCCAAACTTATTTTCCTAATGTTCCTTTCTTTCTTCAGAATTTTAGTTTTACAGCACTTTTTCCCAAACTAAATTGGCCAACTTCACTTGGAACAGTCACTTCACAAATTATCACTAACATTCTTACACTATAACTGTTACCAAACTTCACTTTAAGAAGCCATTTTGAAACGCTGGATGTGGCCACTATTTTACTGGTTTGAACTAAATGGTAGAAATGCCACTTGCCAAATATCCATCTTGCTCACTTGAATTTACCCCATGTAAGTCTGCAGTGGCCAAAATTTCTAATGAGTAGGTGACTTTCTGTGAATTCAGTTAATTCTTATCTCTTTCTTCTCATCACTTTTCTCTTCTGCTTTATGTTGTCTTTTGATTCTTGATCCTGTAGCTCCATATCTCCCTGTACTTTCTTTAGTCTTCATTCTGTGCATTCTGTTACATGTTTTGGGGGTTTTTTTGTGTATTGAGGGGGGTGTGTGTGTTTTTGGGGATTTTTGTTGGTTGGTACTTTGGCACCAGTAGAGAGTACTGAGAACACAGAACATGCAGATTCTAGATCCAGCATCTTTGCAGGCTGTGGGAGAAGGTATAAGAAAAAGTTTATAACTGGGTTGTAGCATACATAATGCAAATCACATCTTTGGGAAAGAGGAATTTAACTTTCAAAGCATAACTCATCTTTGGTAAGTAGGTTCTCCATTACAGTTTTCTTGAGGCTTGTAGTATGACCAAATTTGGGTGGACTTTTACAGGAACTGTAAAAAGTAAATCCCTGAAACTAGACTTTGTTTAAATTTAAGATCCCTGCTGCAGAGTAGGGGAGGGCTCCATAATTTAGCAGTGAAATAAATGGCAGAACTTAATGCATGAAATCTCTTCCTGAATTTTGTTTAGAAGAATATCTTGGACTTGTTCAGACACATGTCCTGAAAGTCATCAACTTGAAAAGCTGATTTGACACAGATATAAGTAATTGACAGTGGTTTTTATTAGGGTGTCAAACACTTCCTTTTATAATAGATTGTGCTTTTGATCTTTAGTAAAGACTGATTTTTAGGGGATAGCCAGTTGGTTAGTTGTTCTAAAACTTAAGTATTTTGAAGATATTAATTAATTTCTTGATGGTCAAAAGACAGTCATGGGTACTGACTCTTACTTTCAGAAGATAAACTGAAAATGGAAGAAGTTTGTGTAAAATGATCTAGGTCTTGGAAAAGCCTGTAGTACATAAATTGCAAAGGTTAAGATTTTTCAGGTAAGAAAAGGGAATGTGTTTTTTATGACAGCTGACAAGTGCAGTTGGGCAATTTGGTCTTCAGTGATGTCATTTTTTTCTGTACAAAAACATACTAAAGAGACATTTTAATGATAAAAAATAATAGTCCTTCACAATCTCAAGATTGATGGATGGGCACTTGAAATCTTTCAGGAAAACAAAATGAGCTTGTTCTTTGACTCAAATGCAACCCAAGAAGGTAAAAAGATGAAGTCTTGTGCTTTTCCTCTTTGTGCATTATATGGCATTACATTATAAACTAGAAACTCAGTAATAAGTTATGTTTTGTTCTCACACATGTAGAGCTGTGTGAGAGATGTTTTGATCTCACACATTAGATATTTTCCCAATATCTAATCTAAACCTCCCTTGGCACAATTTGAGGC